TTTAGTAATCCCCAACACTGAGACTTCAATGGGTCGTACCACAACGTTAGGATTTAAATATTTCAAATTCTTGGGTGAAATAATGGACTCTATACTGCCTGTGTCCACAATAAAATCATGAAATTAACTAAGGGATGTATATAGTCGCTTTTGAATGTCAGCATCACATTTGGAAATGGTGGATAAAGATAAGTGATCACTAGAAACAGCCGAATTATTGGGATCGAAATTAAAAGAATTTCTACTACTTGAGGCGAAATGAACAGTAGCTTTGCATACCGACTGGATGTGTCCTATCTTACCACATTTAAAATATTTAGCGTTACGAAATGCACATGAATTAGGAGAATGAAATTTGCCACGGATAAACATTTACCACACTTGATCTCACCCCTTTGGTTTGTCATGTCATCCTTCAATATGAACTTAATGGACCATTTTGCCAGAGGTCTGGCAAACCACTGTGGTTCATTCCTAGTTAGGTACCTTGCACTTGTCGTCACAGATTATTTTTTAAGTAGTTTGAATTATTTACGAATATCACCGGATTCCTACTGCAGAATTCAAGTGCAAAGAAAAGTGTTCAGTTGTGTGGGTGTCATTACAGTATTAGTAACTGAGGGTGGTTCTCACTTTGCTGCAGACGCACTTATCGTCTGGTTGATTGGCAGGGAACACACAAATGTTCAATAATTCCAGACACACTTATTTTAATAGTCACGCAGAAAGTTCCGCCAGAGCGTTAAAAACTACGATTAATTCCATCACTATTATAAAGTTCGATCAAATGAAGAGGGAAGTACACATTCCTTCCAAAATAAAGATGACTACATATTCTGTAATGAAAGAAACCTCAACACAATTATTTAAAGAAAGATTATTTGTTCGGACTTGGGGCACTTAGAGTCTGTAGAAGTTACTTACTGTCGTGAGAATGACAGTTGAATTCGTGCTGTTCTACCTGACTTCCATACCCATCCATACCTCACCGTCGAACATACTGACTTCGGAAATCTTCAATCATCACATTTATTTATATAAATAATTACTATATTGTTTATAATTCCTGAGACTCAGCCAACTTGGAGATGCTGCCTGAGTGTGACCACGGTTTTATTCTTGTTTTATTTAGAGATTAGATTACTGCCGCCAAACACGTTGTGCGATAGTTTTGTTGGTTCCTCTGGATGTAATTTTATGAGTCCACCCCTAATGATAGGCACTTGATTTACTAATCATTAAGCAATCCTATGGCTCCTGACGTTTGGTTGCTTGTTACAATTCCATTTCATTGGTGACATTTTTGTCTTTGGGCAGTACGTTGTTCTTAGGTCATCTGGGGCCCTTTCACTAACTACCAAGCGCTATATCCAAACAAACAATAAATGAATGGTAACTGCTGGGCATTATTTATTATTTTTACTTATCAAGTAAGCAGATTATGTATATACTAATATTTCTATTAGCATTAACATTCATCTGACCTTTTGGCTACTGTTATACAGTTTTCCATTCTTAACTTGTTCCTTATTTATTACTTACTATATCTTATACTCACAGTCAAATCTGGCTTGATCTTTTACAGTTATTATATTTAATATTATGGTATGATTTTGTATGATCTGCTTGCATACAAACCACTTATCTCTGAAATATACGATCCATAGAGCGGATGCTGATATTTGTGTTCTGAACTGGTCTGTCTAGGCTAGGTGAGGGGCTGCTATATTTGGAACCAACAGGGACCCAGAGTTGGCTCAAGACTGTTCATGATGAATAACTCGGAGATGGCTTAGCACACGGACTGTCACAGAATTCCGTATTCTGATTGGTGATTTGGTCACATGATATTCGAAGGGCCATAGGACATAAAACTAAGAAATTATTGTTTATTTGTTGTGATAGTTGTTCGTTATTTTGTAGTCGATTTTACCGTTTTTTGTTACTACAGTTATTGACTCACAGAAGAAATTAATGACAATATCTTGTACTGCTCTTAAATTAGCTGACTTTTTGATTCCTTTTTTCTTCATCATCATATATATATATATATATATATATATATATATATGCATATATGACTAATACAAATTGACGCTGACGACCACTGTTCGGAACTAGCTACATCGTTCATAGCATACCATTACGCACAAAATTTTATTCTGCCGCCACATCTTACTTCATTAACGATTCATTTCCTCAATAGTATATTTATTTATTTGATCCATTTTTAATACACAGATTACGGTCTATTCTTATTCTGCTGCACAGAAACACTTATTAAATTATTTAGATATTTCGTACTTCTTTCATGCATTTCCCTACTTTTCTCTTTAAAGTCAACTTAATATTTTAAACTTTACAGAACCTGTTTCATTGTAGCTGATATTAGGCAGACATTATTGAAACTTGTGCATAACTGTACTTCTATAGAGACCTGAAATGATCTCTTCTAATAGGTATGCACCGATGAGCTGTTTGTAAATTATTCTGATAATAAAACATTGTTCAAGTATATTCAGCGTATTTTATGCATCATAGTTGTCCACTCAGCACTACTTGAAGACACTGCCTTGTACAGTTTTCCGAAAATCTGTAAAAAATTCACCGTCAATTTCCAAACATTTGATGTACTCGAATGGAGTGCGTTTTCGCATCGTCTTTAAACCATATCTATTTTATTTTTCAATAAACAAATAAGCAACTTCGTTATGAAAACAAAAATGGAACTGTCTGTATGAAATAATTTATAAATTGGGAAACAATGCCTAAAATATACATACTTGATAGGAAATGGATTGCATTTCCTTCAATAAAACCTAATTACAAATGTTTCGAGTAATAATCTTGACTATGTCAGTAGAATAAATACACATGAATTGGAAGTCAACTAAGTATGATAAGTTTATGATACCAATGTATAAAGGATTTGGTCGATTATACCTCAAAATAAAATTAATTATACGTTTACTGTAAAAGGATGAAACTGTAATAAATAAACACTGATAAAATATTTTACCTTTGTGTAATGAAGTAGTTGACTTCATTATATGAACTAGGAATCCCACTGAGTCTGGCGTGACTTCTTTCACCCCTCGCCGGTAACAAGAGGTGCCCAGTTTTCACTAACAGATTAGAATATTTAAACAGTAACTAGGAAGACTGAAACGTCTTTTCTCGTAAAATTCACCAGAATGAGACGACATCTACTCTGTAATCTTGAAACAATGAAGGGGAGCCATCAGCACATCTGTAACTGATCTGTTCTAGAACTCACTAGAGTCACGTTAGCTGCAAAAGGAGTGGAAACAGTCTACTATCTCTAATATTTATAGGAAGAGATGAAAAAGATCCAGTCTTCTACAGAACAGCAACATTGCTACTAATACTTTCCAACGTAATCGAAGGGGTGATAAATGAAACAAAAGGAATACATACATGGAAACACCATCCCGTATGATGTTCAATATGGGTTTTGTAAGGCCAAGTCTAGTGTGTCGAATCGTCTCATACCATGGGTCAACCCGTCAGATGAAAAGGAATGTATTCATATAATATTTCTTAACGTTGCAAAAGCTTTCGACACAGTACCGTAAGATGTGATTCGTTGACCAACTTTATTCTAGACTCCGACACTATCTAGAGAACGAGTGTTTTTCCTACTACGGTAAGTAGAATGGATGCGAGCTGGAGGATCTCAACGTCGGCGATTTCACGGGGGATAATCTTAGGTCCAGTCCTGTTCCTGATATTCACTAATGAAATTTGGAAAAATTAGCTTAGCAGTACTAGATTATGCGGGCAGTAGACTATAGGTTGAAACTTAACTTGTCGAAAGGCCATCTAATGACCGTTCTGCTCACTTTGAGAAAAATAATTTACGTCCTCCGTGGAAATCTGCTCCCAGTTGTCTTCTCAGAGCGTTATCTCGAGCTAATAACCACAAGAGCTTGACATCTGTTGAAACTTCACAAGGGATGCATCCAAGGCGAACGCAACACCTCACGTTAGAGGAAGACAAATTGGAGCAATCACCGCTGAACTATTCCTAATTCCTTCGAAAGCATACAAGTGCTCTCGTCTTAAAGTCCACAGTGCTGGCGCATCCACCTTTTCCAAGGTGACAGATATTTCTTGGGCTAAGTAGAGTGGCGAGCAACTAAGTGGGTAGTGGGGCAAAACATATATCTTACAAAGTCAGAATCCAACACTTGAGACTATTTCTCTCTGAGCTACAAGAGAACAATAATGGCGCACAACATGCTGGGTACACTAATTTACTCCAACACATGTATTTTGACTGAAAATCAACAACATGCTTCTCAAGGCAGCTTCTGAAAAATTACATATGGACGAGCAAACACCCTACTAATCCATTATGCTCTTTAAGATTTGAACTCGTTTTGGATGCTTTCCAAGAAGGAGTAAGTACAGCCCTCTTAGCAGATAGCTGCAAGAGAACATTTGGTAAACACTTTATCATCCATGTAATACAATCTTCTGCGTGAACCAGCTTTACATGATCAATGTCTCGTAATTTACCTACTGTTACCATTATGACACGTCAGTAGCTCCTCTATATCTCTCTTGTTATCACCTCTGCCTTCACTTTAATTCTTAGACTTCGATCTTCTCACACTATCTGGAATGCCAACTAATAAATTTTTATTTATTACTTGAAACAATTATCTTCTATTAACACTCCAAATATCACCTTATTGTTCATTACATTGCAACATACCTCTTGATTATAAATGTTATAGCTGCCGCTATCCAGAAACCCTACTGCCCTGAGGCAACTGGACTTACTTGAATTACAAAATCTACAAATCTACAAATAACTACCAAACTGGCTGGAACAGTTAAGTCGAGTGTCTAGACTGCCACGCATCGAACGCTATCAAAATCGTAAAATCTTACCAAAACAGCAAGAAGCGAATAACAGGAAATCATCCGGTGAATACGAGCTTTTAGAAATATTGTATATTTTGAATTCTAGCATTCTGAGGTTTCGAGGCGGTATCCTTAAATGTGTCGTTACCTCAAGGAGAGTTTTTAAATTATGGAGAGAGACGGTATGTCTATATACATGAACAGGCGTATGTAGCTCTAGATTCTAGACTATTGAAAATAACTTCTTTCGTTAGATAGTTTGGTGATAATATACAAGAAAAAGCACTCAAATATGACTCAATTATCACGAATTACAGTTGGAATTATTTAGTTTATCAATTAGGTCGTGAGAGTTTATGAAATAAATAAATTTACTATGTGACTGGCTTTTGCGATTTATATAGAATTGATTTTTCGAGTTTAATAAAATGTTAATAAAAAGAATAGCTCGTATTTTTGCCCTTCCTACTCCTCGTTCTAAAACTTTATTATTAGGATGCCTAGACAGATGTCGCTCTTACAGTTTTCAAGGACTTATTCTTAGGTATATCCTCCAATCTTTTGTTTTTACTCTTATATTAGACTTTCTAGTAGGCTGACTTAATATGTTAGATTTTCTATCGTTCTCTCGTAAATTTACAGAAATTATTTTGTGGCACCTTGAAGTAATTTAAGTTGAAGAAAAATCCAGAGATGACAGACAACCATTCAATTTCAAGCAACCGACATTCACCGATTTTAGCTAAAATATAAAAGACGTACTCCTAAGGAGGTACGCTATATTCACGGGTAAGATCATGTTGTTCCTAGTATTTTCTTTAATCATAGGTGGCCATGATAAGGAATTCCGCTCCCTTATAATTTTCCAAGATCGCGGTCTAGATGGATTAGTTGATGATTCATACCTTTTGCTTATGCAGTATTTTTCTTCATTATCAACGTAAGTTGCTTCTCGTAATTATTCCTCAAAAAAGCAGAATGCTAACATGTGTTCAAGAGTTTACTGTCGTTATTGATAGGCGTACTGGTAATTGGACAGTTGTCAAGTCGATTGTTGCCAGGCTAAATGTTAGTAATTATCCGAGTTTTCCTCACTGAAATATTTAGGAAAAGTTCCCAGGAAACTTACATCAAATATTTATTATCAAACCTCAAGGTTTTATGCAAGGTTTTTTCTTGGAGAAAACAATAAACTCAATTCGTGATGGCTGTAAAATTCCGTTAATTTTCGTCGACAAAACTGAAGAATTGCTTCCTTTCATAGATCAACAACATTTGACAAGTGACTTGGGTGGTGAACTTAATTTCGACATTGATGATTGGCTTACTAACAGGATAGTAAGTTCTTCTAAATACGTGGATTCATTATTAGTGCCTTTTTAATTGAAGTATTTTGTAATAAATTTCGGTCCATATTGGCTTTGTATCAAGATTCATAGTGGCTCTTTCGTGTTATATTTACTTGTGCCTGTTACCCCTTGTGGACGAGCACAGGCAACCCACCAGCATTGTCCATCGAACTGTTTCCTGGTTAGTCCTTTCGAGTTGTTTTCAGTCGTTATTCATTATTTCGATGTCCACTCCCAATCGTCGGCGCGAAATGTTCTTCGGCCTTCCTCTTACGTTCCCGCTCATGACTCCTAGTTATCTCTTGCCCTGCATTATTTGTTTATTTAAACACAAATATTGGTACAAAAGGGACACCGGATATACATGCGCAACACAAGTCACTTGATTTGTGTGTGACTTGTTATACTGCCTGGGTGCCCAGACCGAAGCAGTTGGTTCTCCTAGAGAGCCACACCCAGAGCCTCCGACCTAAAAGTCTAATCCACGAAACAGTGGAGCAACGTCAAGAGCAGTCACATGGTAGCCAGTCATCGACAGTGGGTTCATACTCCATTTGTTCCCTCAGGGTCCTGAGCCCATGTGCACCATTGTTTCGAATCAGGGTTTTCCAACTTCCCTAGGTGGGTCCTCCATATCCACCAATCCGGTTAAAGCACCGGACATTCGCTTCTCGTTCTCTCAGTTTCGTAAGGAACAGTGATGTCGCGAGAAGATAGTTATTAGGACATCCCTGACAGTGGTTGTATGCACATGGCCATGTGAGAGCATTTTGAGAGGGAAATAGGTCTCTCCCCACTCGGTCGTACCAGGGCATTTGGGAGCTTGCCTTGTGATGCGGTTTGGTGTTTTCCTCAGTGTGTGCCCTATCAACCTTCAACGTCTCCTAATTTCCTCTTCACCTGGATGCTAATTTGTTCTCTCCCACTGTAGACTGTTGCTGATGGTGTCCAATCAGCGGACATTCAGTATCTTGCGTAGACAATTGGTTATAATATCCATACTTTTTTTGTGATGACTGCAGTAGTTCTTCAAGTTTTAGCTCCTTACAGTAGGATTGTCTTGACGTTCGTATTGAAGATTCTGACTTTGGTGTTGGTTGACAGTTGTTTTAAGTTCCGTATGTTATTCAACTGTAGGAATGCTGCACTTACTTTCTCATTCCTCGCCTTTACGTCTTCACCAGATTTTCATCGTTCATTGATGCTGCTCACAGGTGCATCAAAGTTTCCACCTTTTCCAGTGATTGGGCTGGTGTTCTCCTTGTTGTATTTGAGGACCTTGGTTTTTCTCTTGTGTATGGGATAGAAGGGCCAGGTCATCTGCAAAGTCCAAATCCTCAAGTTGCATCCAACCTGTCCATTTCATTCCGTGTTTTCCTTGAGACATAAAGATCTTCACAATCCAGGCAACCATCAGAAGAAAGAGAAAGAGTGAAAGTAATTAGCTATATCTGACAATGGTCCTCACTTAGAATGAGTTTGTCAGCTGTCCTCCATGCACAACTTTGCATTGTAATCCGTCGTATGAATTCCGTATGATGGTGACGATCTCCTCAGGTAAATCATAGTGTGGAAGAAGGTTCCATAAGGTTTTCCTATCCACACTGTCATATGCTTTCTCATAGTCAAGGAATTTGACGTATAGTGACGAGTTCCACTCAATTGATTGTTCAACGATGATAGGCAGTGTCGCGATTTGGTTAGTACACGACAACCTGTTGGTCTTGGAGTTGGACGTCTACTGAATCTTTCATCCAGTTCAACAACACTGTTGAAAACTATTCCGATATTGATAGTTGTGTGATTATCACACTTGCTAAGATCTCCTTTCTTTGGTATTTTGATGGGATATTCTTCTTTCCAGTCTGTCGGTGGCACTTGCTCCTCCTCCCAAATCTTCCTGAATAGAGTGCGAAACATGTTTTCAGTTACTTCTATGTGTGACTTCAGTGCTTCATTTGGTATATTGTCAGGTCTAGCTGCTTTTCCACTTGATTTGCCTGATGGTCGTGTTGATTTCTTTGATTGTTTGTGGAGTGACAGTTATAGGATGGTCTGTAGGTGCTGCTTCGATTTCCGGTGGATCCAACAGAGCTGTTCTATTTAAGGGCTTCTGAAAGTGTTCCACACATCTGTTCTTCTGTCCTCTAATCTCAATGATTGGCTTGCATTCTTTGTCGTTGACTGGTCTCTATGGTTTACTATATTTCCCTGTTAGTCTGTTCGTTGCATCATATAGCTGTCTCATATTTCCTTCTCTTGCAGCTTTTTCTGCTGTCGTTGTCAGCTCTAATGCTCCTCTTCACTCTTTTGTTTGCTTCTATGTATTTAGTTTGTGCCTGGGTTTAATCTGTTCTTGTTCGGTTGTTGTTAATTGCTGACTTCTTGTTCATCCTTTCTTGAATCTTGTTCAGGATTTCCATGGAGTTCCGATTTTTATTATGCTTCTTGCGGCTCAGAGCCTCCTGACGCGTTGAAGCTAGTGCTTCTTTGATCGCTTTCTAGTTGTTCTCCACAGTAGTTTCTTCTTTGAATAGATCTTTTTCATATTTTTTTTAGTCATTAATTATCAGAATTTGTTAGTGAAACACCTTTCAATGCAGGATTGCTCAGGTTTCTTTCCACCAGACCGAAAAAATCCGGTATTCTCACACAGTAACATAGATCATTGTGGTGACTGTATCTAAGCTACGGATGCCAAATATTTTCCATTTAAGGAGGGATGGCAAAACGGAACCTCGTTATACTCTTTCGCTGGTTCAGAACGTTGAATTAGGTAATGATATTTACCCTCACTTAGTGTTGTTTTTATACAGATTTTTAAACATGGTATCCGAATTCTGGTGTTTCAGGTGAAAAGTGGTTATTGGTAATTGTCTGTACCTGTAATAATTGTGAATAAATTTTCCATTAGCCATTATGAGACGTCTTAATACTAACTACGAGTACTATATAAAGCCAATAATTAATATAACACAGAAGCAGTTCTACTATATTATCTTGACTCTAAAAATATCAATCACAGAAATCTAAGACGGTAGTTAAAACCATTTTGTACAAAACCTGGGAGTTGAGCAGGATTCTGTCTTAAGGAGTTAGTTTGGAAATAATGAAACCTCTATGTTTTAACATAGCTGCCTAATTTATATCATTGTCTTTTGTTTGACATTTCCAATCAATACTATTGAAAAATTATTACACGAATATCACACTTATTTATCCGTACATTTCTCACCAGGTTCGACAACATATTTTGCATTATGCTACTCGAAAAGATTTCTGTCTTCAGTTTTCACAAGTAGGTATTATATATATCAACCAAACCTTACCCATTTATTCTTCTAATCTGTTTTCTGTATATGGGCTTAGATAAATAATCATATTTTCTCACTGCACACTCATTTAATAATAAGGATAACACTTAAACATAAACACGCGAGTCTTACACTTATATTTTTAATTATTCATGAATTTTCGTAATAATCCAATGATATTTTATGATTAATAAGAGTAAAATCACCAATGATTGGCTAGTCTAACCTAGAACTAATTTTGTTTGCTTTTATGTGTGTCTAATCGTAAGACAAAAGAACAAAATAAAACATAAGTAACAGAATAGTGGCCTCATTTTATATGCAGATTATTCACTTGTTGTTTGTCATTAGTTTCTTTGAGTTTTTTTCGACTGTCTGTTTTATCTGGTGATCATTTTAACTAATATTGAGTACTAAAATATACCCTGAGTATTGTCGGAGTATAATTAATCTCATCTATATCTAAAGCTTAACAGAATGGATTTTAATCTTTGCGACAGATTTATTATCTGTTATTTGATTTGATTTAATGCTATTGCTTATTAATCTAATACGACTATCCCAATCTTTTTCGCTTCTTACTTACTTCTCATATCTTTTTATTCGAAGCGGAATTATTTTTTGTGTCTGGTCATTTTGTTCCTGTATTTACTTCTTGTAATTATAAATAATGTGTAATAATTATTCGTTATCTTTACAATTCTTCAAATTAAAGGATATTGAAGAATACTTTGAAGAAGTTGAACATTTATACACTGAATTGAAAAACATCATGAATCAGTGTATTAATCAAAACTATGATCAACGACAGGATTATTATTGCAATCCAAAATCAAGAACTTGCCATTTAAACCAATTTTATAGTTGTGAAAATATGCTCGAATTACGTAAAAAATGTCATCATTGGTTACATCGTGTTTCACACTGTGAAGTTAAGGGTTTGAAAATACGTGAAAATTTACTTAGGAAAAATTCAAATCAGTCATGTACAACTATACGAGAAGAAGACACTACAATAAAATGTGATATACCATCGAAAACGGGGACATGGGCTAATACAAGTGATGCATATGACTTACCAGTCGATTATGTCTTTCATATAATTACTTTTGATCGTATACTCATTAGGTTAACTGAGGCTCGTACCGAATTAAGACGGTACTGGCGTGAATACATGAAACGAGTACGTGTTACATTTCTGGTTGATGATGTTGAAAACCAATATTACGAAGTAAGTATAAGTATGTTTTGAATATAATATTATTTATTTGTAGTGGAATTTTTATTGTTTCTGCTTTGTGTGTAATTAAGACTTTTTAGACAATAAGTATGACACTAGATTAATAGTGTGAGTGTGATAAGCAAAAGTTGTGTCCAAACACCTGATTAAAGTAGCATTAAACTCTACATTTTGTATTCCCACTTTGAAGATATGTACATTATTCATTTTAACCATTTTATCCAGGACAGTGAAAGCGTGTTTTGTTCGAATCTTCGTTAAATAGTACAATTACGATCAGTATACTTAAACACAAAATCTGTAGTTGAATCACGGTTCTCTGAAAAACCTTTTATTGAAATGAGGTTATTTAGAAGTACATTTGCAAATAGAAATTAAAATGGATATATCTGACAAACCTTACTTAACAAAGCCTTTGCTCAGATAATAGCTCTATTCAACCTCTCATTTAACTCCTTTTTGGTACAAAGCCTCCAGTAATGTTATTTATTTGTTAAGTACTTATTTTAGTGCGAAACTATTTAAAGCTTTGCCAATTGATTGGTTCGAATTCACCTTATCTCCATAAGACTATTCATTTTCAACATAACTCCTAAATAAACACATTTTTGTACACGTTGTTATTCAAAACTTTCTTCGTTAGCTCGAAAGTAATCAAATAAGTGAGATAAAATAACATATATCTCTACAGGTTAGTGTACTAGTCTATGGACTAAATTCTCCATGTAACTATAAACGATTCTACCTGGTTGTCAAAACTTTGATATGTATGGTCGAATTTAAGTCGGTGACCCATTAATCGGGTCCTTTGACCAGTAAACCACAGCTCCCATTTGTAAAAACTTCATTACTGATATTATAAACCTAAAAATTAATGTACAGACAAGAAAATTACAAAAGTGGGGAGAACGTATTAGAATTAACTTAAAGGTTATGATTGAATGAATAATACCTAAATATAGAATAGTAAGATGTTCAAAATCGAGACGAAGATATTTGTCGTCTAGTATACCTTCAATACCACTGAGGACTTTGAATAATCAGTGTTTATTTCAAATCATCATGAAATATCTATATAATATATAATTTGAAATTAGTTTATTATGGACAGTAAATCAATTAAAGAAGTCCGATTCATTGTGGGTCTGCTAACTGTGGTGTGTATAAACAACTCTGGTACTCTTAATGATAAATATATTTTTGTTATATCCCAATGAATAGGAAAATCGCATTTCTGACGTTTTGTGACCTAATGTAAGCCACTTCAAAAATGCAATTTTTCTACGCATTAGGATATAACAAAAATATGTTTATTTTTATTTGAAATTATCAAGTCCAACATTGGCATTGATACCTATAAACACATTAACAATCTGGTATTCTTTTTTTGAGTTTCTCATCAACTCCCTAATGGCTAATAATGATCACGTCATAAGACGAAGTTCGGTAATATATGCTACTTATTTCACATAACTCCAACCAATAATCAGTGACCTAATGAATTTGTGACAAGTTTTATTTTTACCATATTAAAATTTTATAATCCTATTATAACCACCCCGAAGATGCATCATTACATATCACTAAGTGCACGCAACACGTATTTTAACCACTTCATTTTTATCCGATTTACAATCTCATTAACTAACCTTAAACTTTTAAGTTGCATTGGTTTGTTTTTGTCAGAATCTATGTCAAAGGTATATTTGTAAAATGCAGATCGGAAATACTTTAAAAAAATCAAAACAAGATGAGTCATACAAATGCGGGTTGTAAAGGTTATTTTAAAGTTACTCTGAAGTCATATGATGGTTGTACCTGCTTTCAAACCTAAGTTTTGTAGCACTAACAAAACAGCTCTTATAAATGAGACTATTTTAGTACAGTATGGATAATTTCGGAATTATTACAAGCTGAGAAACCATGTTTTCTGTGCATTATTTTTTGTAACTAAACTGGGATCAGACTACCATGAGAAGTGTTGTTGCCGTAATTGACCTATACTGAAAGTTGTGCGTGGATAACTTATAATCAATGTTGTAAAGTGTGCATCTGTTAGTAATATGTTTGGTTTTAATGTATGTGAAAATCTTCGTACCGTTTTACTAACTTACCACTTTTTAAACCCAAATCAATGCTAATATAAATCTAAGTATACATAATATACTCCATGAACAACAAGTTAAATCTGGGAACGAAAGTTTAAGGTTACGCTACGAATTCGACAGATGAAAAATAAACCCATCGCAGTAACAAATTTTGGGCGATTCCCTTCAAGGTTCTCATTCATTAACTCCAGTTAGGAAGTGTTCACTTTTCGATAAGGCTCAGATCAACAGATAATGACTTCTTAAACTGATGCTATTTATTGATCCATTTGCAATCTAATTTTTTTACAACCTATGTTGGTCAGTGTAGTAAGCTGAGGTAGGTGATGGCAAAATTTACGCCTCATGTCTGTTAGTAATGAAGTTCAAATCTCTTGATCCAGCTATCGAGCACTGAATCTTTCAACTAGTAAATCATGGTTTTAACTGGTCAGTTATCACTACATGTTGGTTATGCGACCAGAGATTTTTTGATAAATCGTAAAGTGATTTCAGTATAATAGTTTAATTGAGAATAACTTCTATTTTTCGTATTGACAGTGTTTCAATATGCGTAGAATCTCATTCTTATTTTTATCTTTTCAAAAATTCTTTTCATAGTTTACTAATCTTGCCAGTACATGGAATAATCTTATTGAATCTCTAGTTGATTATTTACCTGTTAAAATGTCCAACTCCTCCGCTTTATCTCCAGCACATCAACATTATCATAATCAATCATTAAAAGATGATAAGGAGAACAGTTGCATTCATAATAGTAATAATTCACCATGTTCCCCTTCACATTTCATTATACTTTCTGCATTGAAAAATGATGGTGATGAAACGGATACATCGTTAAGTAAAACAATATTGGAAAGTTTAGAATTACTATCTTGTCGTATATTGGAAGCGGAAGCCACTGGTAATCGACTATTAGCAAGATTAAAAGAATTAGATAAGATTGCAAGCAATTTTGTTTTATTTATAATTGATAATGTGGAAGAAAAAGAAGGAGTGTTACTGAACAATTCTAATGAGAAAGACAATCATCAAGGTAGTTAATTGCATTTAGCATTTAAGTATTTGTTATTGCATGTTCTGTGTAAATATGTTCGTCGAATCTTATATCATGTGGTCTTTTTTTGTATTCCAATTTGGTAACCAAACTCTGCCTGCGTATAATTGATATTACTTTGAAGGAGGGATTTGAATTTAAAACCTAGTGGTCAGTAGTCAAGTGGATTAATCATTAGGTCGAAGTTTCGTACTTTTTTCTGTGGTTTTCTTAGATGATAAATATTGAGTTGACCAAAATGCAACAACGTTAAGTAAGCAGAGACGAATACATAAGCAAAATAATTTTTTCAAATGATTCCACGAGATTCATCATCGACAGTGCTCAGAAAAACCTGGTAGATGCGGTTGAGAAGCGTCTTTTATCCAAGTTGAAAGGGCTCTTGAAAAAGAACTTGATCAATAATCCTACGTACAACAAACTGAAGCCAAAAAATCTCAATTACCTTGTACTGCTTACCTAAAATACACAAGTCAAACATTACATTGAGGCCAATATTATCGATAATCAAATCACCTTTTCACAATCTCGCCTGCTAGTTGACATGGTGTTTAGAACCAATCCGCCAGAAAATAGCCTTCTACAGTCTGAAGGATAGTTTCGAATTTGTACAAAAGCTTGATGGCTTAAATGTTTCCGACAAATTTATGGTATCTTTCGACGTCTCACCAATTCTGGGGGAAACGGCTGAAATTATATGTCATTATCCTCAACTCCTTCCTTCCCTAACCAATGAATTCAAACAGCTCTTGTTTATGTGTACCAAAAATATTCAATCCCACTTCAACAGTGTGTTGTACTTCCGGATTGATGGAGTTGCCCTGAGTCCAATTTTGACTGATATACTTATGGGAAACCTGGAACAGAAGAAGCTTAAGCACTCAGTCGAAGGAACTATACTCTATCGTAGATATATTAATGACACATTTCTTGTTTGCAACAATTAGAAGTTTTCTATGTACTCTCTCAGTCTGTTTAACAAAGCACACAACGACAGAGACTTTACTATGAAACGTGAAGTAGAAGGTAAATCCCATTTCTTAGATACTAGAATCGAACGAACTTCAAAAGCTACACAACTACCGCAAAAATGCATGGAGTGGAGTTTATCTAAAGTAAAACAGTTTCTCTCTAATAAGTTACAAAAACGGGGTTGTACGAACCCCTTTTTGACTGCGCTCGTAAACTTTTCCTGAAGGAAAGCTTGGAAGAAGAACTCATCTTCATCACAAATTGCCTACGTGAAAATGCACATTCAGCGAAATGTATAGAGAAATATGCAAAAACCAACCTACATGTTAATAACGATACAGTTGATAAGAAAACCCGCTTCTTATATTCACGCTTCAAAGATGAAATCGCTGGAATAATTGAATACAGAATAAATGTCGCGACTCATTAGCAAGATTGACGACGCTATGCGAAACTAACTGTTCACTCAAACAAACAGAACTTGACACGTCCTCTTTTCTCAGTACCTCCAGCTGCATTTACCAACCTACATGTGCGTGCCAAAACACAGATTAGAAGAACAAAGAGAAGAGTACATGTTCGCACTTCTGAGAACGTTCCGAACAACTTGAGACTGAGAGGTGCAAAAACTCCATATAGTGCAATAGCTCCGCATTTGATTGATACCGGGAATACCTTTGATATTCCTCAACCCTTCAAAATTATCAGCAGACATAAAAACACAGAGTCTCTTCGGTTTACCGAAGTAGTGGCAATAAAGATACTCAAATCTAAATTATGTATCCAGAAAGAGACAGTAATTGACTTATCACTACCCTAGTAGATCGTTATTTCCCATTGGTATCATTATTATTTTATTAGTGTTTACTTTGTTATGTGGTCTTCATCGAACTAATTCTTATTTTACACCGAAATCACCCCTTAGTTCGTTAGTTTTTTCATTCACTTAATTCTCTAAACTTATGTAAGCCTCTTCAAATCCTGTTTAATTATTACACAACCCACCTTATCGATTCCTAATTCTATACAATTATCATCTCAACGCTTCAAATCTTCTATATCTATTTTGGTGATTTGAATTTTACGTAAATTCTTCACAAACTCTATATTTGGCACACAATCTGTATTATCTGCCACGGGACTTCATTTGATTACTGTCTTAGCCACCCTCCTATGCTTTTAGAATTCCATCTCCAAATGACCTCACACAACTGTTATTACACGGATATCTATTTATAGTTACTATTGATAAACTTTGTTGTTCTAATTCTTTCCGTCATCAATGTCAATTGATGCACATTATATCATACCTCGATGTTACATTTTAATACATATATGGTTGTAAGCGACAGATGGGAAACCACGAAATATAATAAATACATGTTGTTTTGGCTATATTCAACTGTTATGTTGTTAGAAATTATTGATGATCTGAGTCACTGATACGCAATGCACTTATTCTCTGTGCACTCCTCTGAATCTTGATATTCATTTTTACAGTTTACGTACTAGTTTCTTTTTAATTCATTTTTGAATACTTTTCAATTCTTTGATATTCTTTCCTTCTCATCGAACGTGCGACAATTTAAATCGATTGTGTTCCATGAGAGGTTCTCCTGACTATGTCAGATAAGTATTTTCGTTTAGTTTCTTACACAATATTTCAATATTATCTCATTGTTACTTAAATATGGTAGTTTAACCTGTAGATTATTATTACTCTGCTTTTATTAGCTTTTATATTCATGGTGTAACATTGCTTTTTTTCTGAATTCAGCTCAAAAGTTTTTTTTCCAAAATGTGGTCTTCTTCATCTCTGATTAATGGAATTTGATTTTTGAATAAATCTCGATATTATTTAATTTATCCTGTATATATGTTCATCTTTTTGATTTTTATGAACGCAAAATATTCAAATTTTTTATTGTATGTTCGACAAACTATTGTAAGGCTCAGTCCCATCTGATATTGAGAACAGTTGTTTATTTTAAGCGTTCTTATGAAATGGTTGATCTTTGGAATATTGAGATATTCAGTCCAAACGCACCATCTTTCAGACTTTAAAGGAATATAGTTCATCTGGTAATGATTTCAAAGCTGCCACTATTTTTGTGTTCGATGTCTCGTTATTAATTTTATTTCAAAATGGCAAAGATTTATTAGACATACTTTATTAGATCCGGCCGTTTGATTTCAAATTTTCATTATCAGGCTAAATAATAGTCCTTACAATTTGCTTGTGATTGGAGTGCCTCATACAATGATTTCTGTAAATTATTACCAGACTGTTAATTTACCAAATTCTTTATACAATCAGCATGGATATAACATCTAAACTTTGTAAGACAATTATCTAGCTAAGAAAAACCGTCATTGCTAAATTAATATTACTCCATATTGTGTAGATATAGTATTTTTGATCGTTACTGTTCCATTAATTTCTAGTTATCTATTCATTGATTTTCATTTTTGATATAATTTTTTAGAATTCCATTTGAACAGTTAGTTAGTGGTTAAACCATTTGATTTTTGATCAGTGAACTACTTGTTCTAATTCGATTTCATTTAATTTGGTTTTGAAACAGGACAGTATCGCTATTAATAAATGATATATACATATACCTAATCATTAATAAATCAATTGATCGGATCATTCACTTACTGTAGTATAATCATGAGTATTAATACTTCTCGTTGTTATATAATAAAAGTGACTCCTAGTATGATTATTATTTTGTATATTCATCTATTGTTAAGTAAATCGAGTGAATTCGTTTTAGTCTTAAGTGATAATTGATTAGATATTCTTTTTCAGCTTCATTTCTCTGTTGTGATGTAAATCGATTGGTCAGTGCAAATTTAGTCTCAAACATTATTTGTCCAGATTTGCCAATAAAATTAAATGGAAGTAATCAACAAAATGATGTTAACCTAAATACCAGTTGCTTATCTCTATATTCTGGAGAGGAAGATGAATCATCTAATCTTGTTATGTCTGATGAAATTAATCATAGTTCTAATGAAAAAACTGATGAATCCATGCAACAATATTTTCTTCCTATCAAATTTCCTTCAAATGTAAAAGAATGGTCTTTGTTATTTAAAAATATGATTGATTTAGCTAGTATAGATCTACCAAAAGCAGCTGATCAAATTAATCGTTTGCTACAACTGTACACAGAAATTGATAATGTGAGTAGTGTCACTTTTTATATTTACAACATTGTTATTTATTGTTCTTTCATGTTTCTTGTCTTTTTACTCAGTCTTCTCAATTACCTACCTAAAATATGCGTCCAAAAGATGTGGTTTGTATATAAAGGACCAGAACTTGTACTTGGAATATTTTCCTCATATTTAGGTTCCTTATAAATAATATATGTGGCTGTGATTGAACTTTTTCTTCGACCATTTAATGTAGCTATTTTGTTCGGTTTTATAGCATTTTGACATTTTCTATTTTTTCGACTTTTCAAAGATTTACTCTAATCTTTATTTCTTATAGGCTGCTTCATGGATTAAAGAAGGTCATCATTTATTGAAGACAGTAACACCACCGAATAAGCTCACTACAATGAATTTAGTGGAATGTCGGTCACGTATGGATGAATTGATTACATTTACTTCTTCACGTCAGAGTAGATTAGAGTTACTTCGAAATCCTAAACTGTTTCATTCACGATTAGTTGGATTATTAGACGCTGATTTGAAGGTGGGTTTTGTTTAATTATTATCGTGAAACATTGCTACAAATTCTCTTTTCTATCATATTCATTCTTTAAATTAAAATGTTTCTAGTTTTAAATAAATGATTAATAATTGAAATGAAATTCACATGACGGTGATCTCTACAAACAAAACACGTATCACTTTAAAAATCCCCATAGAATAATTCAAAAAAGAGAATTATTTGTTTTTGAAACATGTATCATTCTGTAAACCTCGTATATTTAATGAAATAAACTTATATACTAATTCCAAGAAAGTCAAGTGCTTTTTTGGTTGGAATAGTCTTTTGTCTATTATCATTTCGTAATGCTTGAAGATTCATATTTATGGCATAGTATCTTGATAGGACTTTGGTTCCGTGCTGTCAGCTTTTAGCATCGATGAAAACTGTAGTTCAAGGCTTGAGCCCTTGAGATGTTAGAAGTCGATGGTTTAAGATAATGGAATATAGCTCAGAATTCATCACCATAATGCTGATTCTCGTACTTTTTATCTCTTATTTTTAACTTCTCAACTATGTTATCACCATGAATGTGATTCACTTGCTAATTACAAGTTTATTAACCAGCTTTTGGGTCACATTTTTCTATGCAGTCTGATGATACTACCCAGTTGTCCAAATCGGAGTTTGGGGAATAGGGTTTGAATCTACGAGCAACTGGTTATAATCGGGATTCTTTAACCACTAATTCAACCCCTCACTTATTACCATTGTCTTAATACAAAAAACTTAATCAAAGGTCTATCTGTACATACTCTGTAGTTCCACAGTGTCAAACATTGCCAGTAAAACTGCTTCAGTAATAATCTATTCCCCTGTAAGACTATATTGTATACACATATTGGTCTGGGAATAGTAATAATGTGATTTCTAATCCTCATTGTGAATCTAATTTTATATCTCTTCATGATACACTGATTCCGCAATTGAAGATTTTTCTAATTATGATTGTTTTATTCTAGTGTTTTCAATTGATATCCTTCTATGCATCGATGTGTTGTTTTTATTTTTAATCTGTAGAGTCATTTAAGTAAATTATTAAAACAAGTAGAAGATCTAGCACAAAATTGTAATCTTGCTATTGCTTCAATTCGTCAACACATTTCACGAACAAGTTTCCCAAGAAATCATCCCAACTCTAAATCTTTTAATAGTAGTACTAATAGCAGTGGTAGTACTTTGACTAGTCCTGGGACAAATTCACCCATTCAAGAAGCTATTGAATCAGCATCATCATCTTCAGAAGTAAGTTTTTATTTCTAATACCATATACTCTGACTACTTTTCCATAGATCTTAGATTTAAACAATATTTTCAAACTTTTTATTCATGAATTAATGAAAAATTAATCAAATAGTGGTTTTTAAAATCACACTTGTGTTGATCATTCAACATAGATGGTTTTGTATGATAAATTTTCCGATTTGAATTACTGTATTATAAATAAATAGCATACTTCTGTGAGTGTTGTTAAATTGCTGAAGTTTATAAACCATCAACTAACCAAATAATACTTCATATTTATATCCGACTTTAAGTCACACATTTTATGTAACAGGTAATGATATCACTTCAAGTAAGCGTAACCATTGTTTGAACCTTCAACGCAGTCGTCATAGGCTGAGTGTTTTAATGACTGAGTTACTTCTCCTTTGAGGTAACTATTCAGTAGGCCTACATTTCTGCAGTGTTTGTGTCACTTCTGTCAATCTACGGTTTACGTTTTAACGTCATGAATTTTTAATAACAGATCGAGCGAACTAACCTACTGTATCTATATTGAACGGGACTGGAAGTTCTACTCATTTATAACCTCGTATGATTTTATATTTTGTTAGGGGAATCTTATTCTTGCTATGCTAATTAAAGTTTTCTGCTTTTATTAAATGTAGGGTCTTAACAACCACAATAACAAAGTATCCAATTCCATTCAAGGCTCAAACTCAACTTCATATCAGCTATCACAGTTAGAATCTCCAACTTCATTATCAACTCCAGGTAAACGATATCAATTAGCATGGAAAGAACTGGTAGATACAGAAAAATCTTATGTGAATTTTCTACAACATGTTTATGATGTAAGTTCAGTATGTTCCAATGTATTATCAAACTACTATTAAGTGATGCGGTTATAAACCTCTTGTTTATTGCTGGTAATTCTTCATTACATCTCTTACAACTGATTAATTTTAGCTTTCCTCACGCGGTACACGTACTTCACATAGTCTTCAGGAAAAAAACCCTGCTGTAGTGATTGTTTATGTGTAGTGGGTTCTGTGCTTAGACAGTGAAGGTTCGCTCTGACATTTATAAAATTGACAATAAGATCTGAGTTATTTAATTATTGATTATTATCTTTGTAGTCTACTAATTGTATCTAAGAGATTTGACACCATTGTTGTGTGTATCCAAGATACAAAAAATACCACAGTCTGCAAATAGTTTTCTTACTTATTAGCCTGATATATCATTTTTTTAAAGAGAAACTTGTCAATTAACTTCCATTGTTTACTTACTCTCATTGCATAGGAATAGTAAGTGTAAACATTTTCTACCGAAATATTTTCATAAGATAAATTGTATTGTTTATTTTAAAATTCAACCTTAGTTTATTGATTTTCAGATGAAAATAAATAGTTCATTTTTTAACTTTTAACTGATTAATAGATAAGTTTAAGAAATGCTTGTAGTTGAAATATTCATGTGTTTAAGAACAAAACCTTATCAAATATGAATCCTTTCTTTCTTATCTTAGTGTCAGACCGTTTTCATTTGAAAGTTGAAAATTTGTATTTTCCTATATGATGGAGATTCGTAGCTCAGGTGCATGATTTTGATGAAGTTTTGTTATCCGAGCTGGATGTTTTGGTCGCAGAGCTTTCACCGTTCTTCTGAACAACATCATCAGCACAAACTTTAGGTATAAGTGAAGTGTTCAAATTTCTGCACATGTGGTTCACAGCTTGTCTTGTACACCTCGATGTTGATTGGCTCTTGTTGACCTTAAACCTGTCATTGTTTACTTATTTATTTTGGTTGTATCTCCCATTGGCTTGGTTTTCTTTCCTATGTCTGTCCAGAATTTTTCTGATTGGTTGATGAATTGGATCGATTCCAATGTGCTTGTTGATTGCTGATTGATCCGAGTGACAAGGCCCCCAAAAAATTCTCTGATGTTTTTAGTATTGTCTCTACCAAGATCTCCACACATTTCCAGTTGAATGTGTGTCCACAATTGTCCACGTGCATTGATATAAGTGAGGGTATGTTATGGCGCTTGACCGCTAATTGATGTTCATGTAGACGAAGATGAAGATGGCGTATTTTTCCATACTATAGTGCATGGCTGAGACAGTTTCTAGGTATTGAGTGACAGGGTAACTTGATTCGGAGCCCAAGTAACCAGTAATTATGTGACCGTTTCTTTTAAATTTCCAATTTAAGTGGAAAAAAGATAGTCAACGTTCTTTGGATGTAAGCCCATATCTCTACTTTCCTCTATTTATTCCCTCATTTTTTTAACCTATCTCTTCCTTTATATCACCACAAAGTTGTCTTACTGGTTTTCATATGATATCTGTTTATATAACACTGATTGTCCAGTGATTTTATCAGGTGAGAATGATTCCCCGAATCCACTTGTGTTCGAGTACCTTGCTCCAGACCGTTCAGCAAATCAGAGCTCATTGATTTCCTAAAGTTTATTAAGTACTGGCTTAGTGGTGAAAGCACTTGGTTTCTAATCAGTAGGTCACAGATTCAAGCGTCGCTCTAAGTAGTTTGATAGTGTCCTTATTCTTCATCCAAACAGTATAGCTCCATGCAAAGCAAACTAGGTGGAAACCTGTGTTTGGTAAACGGGTTGAATATTAGTGCGTATGTGTTGGTGCGCAAACTTCAGTACTATTTCCTATGTGGATATCGTTTTCAGCATGGGGTGACATTATTACCACGGTTATTATGTGATTCCTGACCCCTATTGATGAAAATTTAGGAGCATGATTATAATTATTTAATAATAAGTGATTTGTTAGCTTGTATTTCAAAATCTGCGCTCATGTGTCTAGGAACAAACATTTTTTTACTTGTGATAATTTGTTTATTGGCTATAAATTGTGCATTGTTGTAGTATGATTAGTTAAAATCAATTTAGCATAAACTGTTTTGATTGAATGTTAGAACTCACATTTTAATTTTATTTTAATAAAAACTTCTGTCAGACGAATCCATCATCGTTTAATATAAAACTGTAACTTCTGAAAAAAGCCACATCAATCATATTAGACCGGGGTATTCTACAACTGGCTGTTAATAGATATTGAGATCCAAAACGAAATTAATTTTCTTATTGATCACGTGGAAACAGAACTCAGTTTGTGTCCTTATTTCGATTGAAACCGGCAGTAATTGTGATGAGAGAAAGGCTATGTATATCATTAGAAGTAAAATGAAAAAAATAACTTTCGAACAAGACACAGATTTGTAATTACATTAATGATTTTTGTGCCTGAAAGCTAATAAAATTCTTAATACAAGAGGAGAGAACTGATTTTCTTTTCAGCATTTCAACGAATTATTTTAACATATCGTTTGAGCTTATAATAATCGTTATATGTGTTTAAACATTTGAATAAATCACTGTTATAAGATAGTGTAAAAGGTTTATTTAATTCGTCCATGACAATTCCAAGCAGACTCCAGTTATTGGTTGAGCTGTTGAAGAATTACAGAAATCGTGAAAGTAGTACTGAAATTGAATGACGAATAAAGAGTATGGAGATTGGTATGGCCATTAGATCCATATCTAAGGCCATAGTTTGAATGAGAAATAAATTTTCGTTTCTAGTCTGTAAGGACACCTTGTGTCGCATATTAAAGACATCCTGCTGATTTCAGCCATGTCAGTAAACCTCTCAGGAAGCAATATTACAGAATTGATCAGTTTACATTCATCAGTTAGTAATTGTAGATCATGTAGCTAGTGCCAAGTAAATTGTTAACGTTCACAGCTAGGAGAAGAGTTGAATGTTGAGGAAATCATTACTTTTAATACTACTCTTCGAAAAATAATAACCGATAGCTTCCTTTGCAAAACTGTTCATTTTATTAAACAAAACGGGATTGGAAATTTTTTTGATCTAAAATATGTACCAGAATCACCGTGATGTAAATACTATTTTTCATTATGAACGTTTCTGGCGGTCTTATTTCATTCTTGTGAAACCATTTGTACTTTTTGATCTCAAATTAATTTTCGTCCAATACATCACATTGTCATCCAAACATAATTTATCCATCTTTGTTTTCAAACAAATAGTGATATACAAACTAGTCTTACATAATTCACCTTATCTCTCTCCCCTTTATACTTTTATGTTTGATATTCAGATGGGTAAGCTAATAATTTGTCAAATGGTCTACTGATTTCGTCTTGTTCCAACATTACTTTCAGTCCTATAGACGACGTTATATTTTTGTGTGTCTATTTGTATGTATCTGTAGTTCAAATCCAGCTTGACATGACATATTTATAGAAATATACATATATATATCGGTGTTTATATACTACTAGCTAATGGTGTTAGGTCGGGTTTTTCAGTTGTTGATCAGTTTTTGTCTTTACTAGTTAACCTTCACAGTGTTTGTTCGCTGTAATTTGACTTACTGAAGTTTTGTTTAGTAATAAAAATACATGAAAACATTATTGGTAATTGTGTTTGTTTGTGTAGGGCTTGTTTGATTTTCCTGGCTTTCTGTGAATAGTTTTAGTTGATCGTAAGGAATCATTCATTGTTTTTATCTATAACTTATTTCTCTGATTGAGTCGATTTCAGAAGACACGCAATCATCGATAGTTGTGTAATCTGTTTTTTGTTTTCAAAATATTTATATCAGTGATTATAATATTTGGATGGAATCCAACAAGAACTAAGATCTGCTTGCCTTTTTTTGTTATGAAAATAACGTTGTAAACAGTTGTCAATGTTCAATAATCGTACTAATTGATTTTTAGATGAAATAACAAGTTTCCTGCATAGTTGTTTTTCAGCGTGTACGTGTTTATGTTTATGTATAGGGTAAGTACATACCTTGTACATATGGGGCTGATGTGCAAGAATTCAACTGTTCACTAATAAAATGATCAAAACTTACTCAAACATACAATGCTAAAAGTGTCGATAAGTCTTTTTTAGTACTTTTTACAGACGTATTCCATTGATTGTTGTTCGTAATGCTGTCGTTGTAGTTATTAGTGCTGTATGTGTTTTGATAAAGTGAACACTTATCGGAATCTTCCACTTCTTGTAAGTAGTAGTCAAGAGAATCACGATAGTGATGGATTTTCAGTTAAAATATTTCGGTTTTGAAAGTTAGGTCTTATTTCCGAACATTACTCCAGCTTATTCAGTTTACTTGCCGAGTAGCACAAAGATATACCGTGGATGCGTACTGCTGAGGGGTCCCGTACTAGAATTAAACGGCCGTTTAGTGCTTCAGGGTTTTTAACGATGATTCATTATTTTTAATGAAATTCAATAGTCTCCGCAACCCTGTACTGAAAATATGCAGTTTAGTTTGAATAATAGCGACAATAATCAATAAATCAATTTCTGAACTGTCTATTTGATGAAAATTAAAAATTACCAGTGTATCTGTACTTATAGGATATTTGTATACAGAATTTATTCAAACTTCATCCAATTTTTAAACAAAATATCTATTGAGTAAAGTTTTCGCTAAAGGTATAGTGTACTGACAACCTTGAAATGACCAATCGGAATTAAGATAAACCCTCGTGCATTTTACGCAAAGTATGAAGCGCAGTGATGGATTACTTGTATATCATTATTAACTAGATGAAAACTGTTAATGATTGATTCTCAAAATGCTCGGAATCAATAGAAATAAGGCAGATTGTTTGTTACAGTGCTTAATGTGATTCGATGAGTAGTCAAGAGTATTTTGTGAAGCTATGTAGTGTTCGTCCTTTCTAACCCTTCCTCTAAATCTCGACCCTAAGTGGTAAAGCACTGAATTATAACTAATGTCAGTACTTAACGAAAACGGAAACCTTAATTTTTCAACCTTATTTTTAATACTTAACCCAACCTTCCTGCTCTATAATCGATGTCAGTTAGTAACGAAAACTCTATGAAATGATAACCCTTATTCAGAATACTTTCGTAACTCCTCATATGTAAATGTGATCTCTTTCCCCTACCAGAAAGAATAATTTTGCATGTGAAGGTTAGTTATTCAGATCATAGCTGTTACTCTACTGTTTTTTTATTGGTTTCTATTGTTTATGTTTTTGCAATTATGCATTGTTCCCTGATTGGCTGATAAATCCCCCAAGTTCATCATTGCATCATACTCTTATCAATTTTCCATCAGGTGATATGCTATTTGGCAAAAATGTTTTGATTTTGCTTTTTAAAATTTACTTGACTATGATCATAATAAGTGTAGTGTCCAAAATATTCCATTGTGATTTTAAATTAATTAATTTAGACTTTCAGTTAAACAGGCTAAAATATGAATATTTGTTGAATTCTATCAATTTTCTGTATATATTATTTGCTTTTTAGGTAGTATGGTTAAATTCTATTGATAATAATGACGAACTGGGGACTCGTTCGCATCCACAGCCAACATTTATGCGTGATAATCAAAATCGTCTTTTGTGTAATTGGCCGGAATTATTACGTTTCCACAGAGAGTAAGGATTGGTTTAGCTTTTTTTATTATTAAAAAAGAGCTTTTTTCAGAATGTGATTATCTGTTACCTGCTTTTACTTGTCATTTATAATTAGAAGCAATTGTTTGTACCGTTATATTTTCAATATCCTATTTACATACTTTAATGTATCAAAGAGAGTTTTTGAAATATTCATGACAGATATTTCCTTTTCACGGACTAACTTGGCGGTTCGATGTCGGACGAGGGCTTGTCATGCATTCAATTGGCCATTACTAACTTTTATCACTTGTAGTGTAGGTAAGATGTTCACTTATCAACTAAAAGGCGTGTAGATGCAGACTGACGGGCTGGGGTTCATGTGATAAGTACGATCAGTGATTAGAGATGTTGGGTAACTCAGCTCAGAATCGTCCACAGCGGTCCAGGTGCATTTACTCCCTATCTTCCTCCCTATATTAGCAGTTCAGGAGTCGACTTGTGGATAGTGTTCATTCTTCTCAATGCATATTGACAGCCTCCATGATGTCTCTAATCGTACTTTTTTCAACTCGTATGGCGAAATATCGTAAAGTTTTCGTAGACGCACCTGTAATTAGTAGACATAGCGATGTGCTAGAACAAAAAGAAACAGACATCCTGTTGAAATATCTAGATGGCGTGAACAGGTAGCCCGTATACTTAAGCAGGCTGCCAGTGGTTGTCGATTGAATTATATTCTCAATGTTTATTTTTAAGATTATTGTTATTCATACCATATCATTTTGATCTGTTTTGAAACTCATTTTGATCTCGTCTTGCTCATGTTGAACGACTACTCGAGCCGATCCACATATGTCGAGATCTACGTTGTTAATGACTGGCTGAATTTGGTGTTAAAATCTAAGCGTGTTTTGATAGGGAACTGAGAGTTGCACTTATTAAATACATCAATGGGCTTTTTTCCATTTCTCTATGTGTACTGGATTTTATTGTCGACTTTCCTGTCATTTTATTATCATTTAATAATTAATTGACAAAAGATGACTTGATGAAATCAATCAGGTGGTTGTTAAATTTTATCAAACTTTTTATTCTGAAATTATTTAAACCTACTGGATTTATCTTGTAAACCGATGAAAAAAGGACGTTACACAAAAAAGGTTAAACTGTACAAAAGTAAAAGTCCTAAACATTGGGATTGGTAGTTGTTGTTACATAGTGACTAATTGTTATGGCTTGTGAAACATTTTTTTCTATTTTAAGGTACAAACGATTAGGAGACTTCTAATTTGAAACGGAATCTGCGCGAACTAGTATTTATTTTATTATTATTTGAACACATAAATGTTGGTATAAGGGGGCACCAGATATATATGCGTCACACAAAACAATGAGAATGGGAAGAGTAAAAGAAGGTAAAGTGCGTATAAGAAAAAAAACAAAGCAATGACGACCACAGCTAAGTGTAAGTTAGTGTAATAGTAGCAAAAATAATAGTAATACTAATGATGGGGGAAACGGAAAGGTACAATCAGAAGAAATCTTTCAGTTAAGGAAGTTACAGCCACTTTTTATGAAGAAAGTAAAAGAAGGTTACAGCAGGATCGCCACTGGCTTCTGTTCTTAGCCATATCTGACAACGTCTCTAGCCAATGTGTTGCACCATCTCTTGGACCCCAACCAGGGAGTCGTGAAGGACCGACAGAAGCCAGTCCTTTGCAGCTTTCTTTCATGCCACGACACCATGTCATGCACTGACCACCTCTCCGCTTCTCCCAACCAGTCCAAGAGTCGGCAAATAACGCACGACGTGGAATTCTCTGAAGCAACTTTCGTAGAACATGTCCAAGCCACCGAAGTCGATGTTTCAAGATAATGACAACAATTGAATTATTGTCGCTGTGCCCAAACACACTATGTCGAACCTATGCATTACTAAAATGATGTTGCCAGGCAACGATGAACAAACACAGCGAGTCGTCTAACGTCCTCAACTAGGAGAGGCCAGGTTTCACAAGCATAGAGCAAAACTGCTCTCACCGATGCGTTGTAGATCCGAACATTTACAGCCAGACTAACATCACGAAGGCACCAAAGATGGCCCAGATTAACATAAACCGCTCTGGCTTTCACTATACGTGCATTGATCTCATCACTCACGTCACCACCAGCACTTATGCAGCTACCCAGATACACGAACTTCTCGACTACTTCTATCTGCTCACCATCCAGAGTGAGTACAGGATTAGAATCCTGCCAGTCTTGTAGAAGTACTTTGCACTTCGAAGGTGCAAAGCACATACCATACCTACGGACACTGACTGCCAACTGATTAAGTGCGGATTGCATGGTTTGGGCATTATCGCACAGTAAGACAATATCATCCGCATACTCAATGTCGAAAATATTGTCTACAGGCAACAGATCCACACTGCCATTACTTACATCCATCAGAACTGTTTCCAGAATGTCGTCGATGGCAAAGTTGAAGAGGAATGGTGAGATTGAGCAACCCTGCCTAACCCCACTTCTCGAATGGAACAATGGAGAAAGGTGGTTGTATGCCCTCACTCTGTTTAAAGTGTTTGCATATAGGGCTTTTCAGATGTTAATTAATTTCTCAGGCACACCCTTCTTCAATAGACAATCCCAGAGAACAGTCCTGTCCAACGAATCGAAGGCAGCCCTAATGTCAAGAAACACTACGATTGTTGGCCTTTGATAAGTATGACGGTGTTTCAACATCTGGTGGACGGTGAAGATATGATCAATACATCCTCTACCAGAACGAAACCCAGCCTGCTCCTCGCGAGTCAATCTTTCTCGGGTTTTGAACAACCTAGGAAGTATGACAGAAGCCAATAGCTTGGACGCAATCGGAAGTAGAGTTATCCCCCGATAGTTGTTACAGGAACGACGTGAACCCTTTTTAAAGATCGGAAGAGTTATATATAGCATGCGATCTTTAATAACTCATATGTGATTGAGTATTAGAGAAGACAGGTCTTAGGCAGAGCTTTAGTTTTTCCATAATAACTCAAATATGTGTTACAACAGTTGTATGTGAGCAACGACTTTGTAGACATGATAAAATTGCGAAGTAAAAGATAAAGTAAGCAATAGGAGAATAGCAAAGGTCATGGTAGTAATGTTCACCAAAAGTTAGTGATAATTTATTTATCCGTCAGGATTATTAAGACTGAAGAACTATTTTTCCAACAAGTACAACAAGACTCAATAATACTAAGTAGTTTTTTTTCATATGAAAACATTAAATTTCAGTTAGTGAATAATAATCCATTTATACTTAGCTTGCATATATGGCGATCTGTAGATTCATATGAGAAAATATTGTAAAGCATTTCCAACGGGTTTTCAAGGGCCATCCAATCAGGTATGAACACAATATTAGTAAATATTAACCCACGCTGTTATACTTCATATCAAAATGAAAAAAACCCAATTGAAATTTCACTGTTATGCGATTTCGATTAAACTAAGACAATATAATTCTATCTGGGACGAAGAAATTTGAAGAAATGTCAGCATAGATTAACATTATTACTCAAAATTTATAGAAATCTACCTAATTATGGCATATATACGATGGCTGTTTGAAACATAAAAACATCACCGAGATGTGTATTCTTGATTTTTTCTCGTAAAAATTGTTTCCTTTTGTTGAATTACTTTTGATTCTATGCTTTTTAGTATTGACCCTTTTGATAGAGCATTTTTATTGTTTTCTGTATATGGCTTAAATCGATCGTATATCTTTTTACTAAAGAATTTAATTCTTGGGAAACACTGGTCTTTATCATACTAGTTTGTGTTAGAAAATAAATTATAGTTGTTTTGCACATTATATCTACTTAACATAGAAATTTAAGTGTAGTTGATATATGTCACACATTAACTTCTTTGTATGTTTTTACTAATATTTCGTCAGTTTTAAGATGATTGGAGTTAGTAATCGGTCTTTTTTTTACAGTCCTGTTTTTCTTTTTCTCGTTTCTCTTTTTACCTAGCATGTTACTACCGCATTTAATATTATGTGATGGAAATTCAGGAAAAATTAAAAACTGGGTATCTCACATGGTATGCTTGTCTTAATTCTTAACTAATATTTTATTTTGTCAATTAACTTACAAGTGATTGTGTGTCTTTGTTTTATCAATGAAAATATTTGGTTTTTTTATTGATTAACGTCAATTGGTATACGGCTCGTTTGATAGTGGATTTTACCTGTCGTATTGTACTCTAGTATTTATGTGCTAACCTGTCTATATTCTGATTGAGTGTTAGCTTAGTTGCTGAAGGACTAAAACTTTAACTAATATGTTGCTTGTTTGAACATTATTGCACCTTATTCGGTTTGGACAGTGTCACTAACATTCACATAAGCCTATGTGGTTCAAATCCAACTACATACACCTGTATTTGGTAAATGATTAGTTAATAACGGACTACTGTAAAGAGTCTATGTTATCTAACCAAATCGATGCATTTTTGAAGTAAACTTGTAATCAATATATGTTATAGTAGATATACACTAGTGTAGATTCAATCGCTTACTATCCACTTTGATATGTTCGATAGTCTATAAGTTCGTGTAAAATTTCAAATCAATGAATAAGCTTGTCTTATAATTTTTTCATAACCTTTGCCTTTCCTATGTGTTTATAGGTCATTGAGATAATATTTCAGTATTTGCACATTATTAATTATTTATCAATACATGTCATACTTTTATGTGAAACCGTAAAATACTAAAAAGTCTATTCAGTGCAGCTTTATCCATGATTCTATCTTTGTAAGATATATTTGTGATGCTTAGCATTGGATGGAGATATTTAAAAGAAAGAATTCATATGTTACCTCAATCACTTACTATCCACTTTGATATGTTCGATAGTCAGACGTTATCCCATCTGTCTGGTCGCAATCACTTATCGTCCCAATATGTAAGAAAGGGTCAAAATCATCCTGTGACATTCACAGAGGGATTAGTTTAACAAATATAGTATCTAAAATACTAGCCTCGATAATTATCAGACGCCTAACTAAGACTCGTGAACTGCAAACACGAGAGAACCAAGCTGGTTTTAGACCTGGTCGTGGCTGCATCGACCACATATTCACCATTCGTCAGGTTCTAGAACACAGGCATACTTATCGACGTCCGACAATGGTGGTCTTTCTTGACTTAAAAGCAGCATTTGACTCTGTAGACCGCGAGATTCTGTGGCAGTGTCTGTCATTGAAAGGCGTACCCCAGAAGTACATAAACCTTGTAAAGGCTCTTTACTCGAACACTACTAGTCGAGTCAGAGCTTATGGCGAACTGTCATCTACCTTTGCAACCTCAAGTGGTGTCCGTCAAGGCTGTCCACTTTCCCCATTTTTGTTTAACTTCATCATAGATCTACTGATGGAAATAACTTTCTCGTCGACTGACTTCTCGAGTATTGATCTCCATCCAGGAGGTCCACTTATCGACTTAGAATACGCAGATGACATAGTCCTGTTTGGTGAAGACGCTGACAAAATGCAGAGTCTTTTGATAGCACTGAGCAACAATGCCATGATGTTTGGGATGCGCTTCTCTCCCTCGAAATGCAAGTTGTTGCTTCAGGACTGGTCTGCGTCAACACCTGAACTAAGGATAGGGAGTGAAGTAGTCGAACCCGTTGACAACTTCACTTATCTTGGAAGTCTGATCAGCCCTAATGGGTTGGTATCTGACGAAATCTCAGCACGGATTCGAAAAGCTCGTTTGGCTTTTGCCAACTTACGTCACCTTTGGCGAAGGCGAGATATCCGTCTATCAATAAAAGGACGAGTATACTGCGCGGCAGTCCGTTCTGTTTTACTTTACGGCAGCGAAACATGGCCATTAAGAGTAGAAGACACTCGTAAGCTACTAGTATTTGACCACAGATGCCTTAGAAATATTTCTGGCGTCTGCTGGGATCACCGGGTAAGTAATAGTGAGGTTAGACGCAGGGTATTAGGAAATGATGGTAAATCAGTTGATGAGGTTATGAATCTTCATCGACTGAGATGGTTGGGCCACATGTTACGTATGCCTGAACACCGATTACCACGACGTGCAATGCTATCCGGTATTGGAGATGGTTGGAAGAAAGTTAGGGGCGGCCAAACCAAAACGTGGTATCAGTGCTTGAAGTCACTAACTTGTAGTCTGAGCCATGTTGGTAGATGCAGACTACTTGGTTGCGGTCCGCGTGACTTTCGTAACCACTGGCTGGAGACTCTTAGTGACATGGCTCAGAACCGATCACAATGGCGTCGGTGTATACACTCTCTGTCTTCCCTTAAACTAAGAGATTAAAATCGCTTCATATCTTTCTTTCTACGAACTAATTCTTTCTTCCTATACTATATCCTTATATGCAATCTTTCTCTTATATATTACCACCTTTCACCTAACCACTCCTATGAATCCGGTGTTCATCTTGTTGTGCTGATGCGGTATGGCAACGTGGACCGATGCTCATATGTGCCTGGTCCTACGTTTTAGCTGACTGACTGACTGTTACCTCAATCGGTTAGTTTAAAGTTCAGTAATGCATGAGAAATGTTTAAACATTACAATTTTAGGAACTCTATTGGACATATCCCAGTCCGCTTTATTTTTTTCCTCGTAAATAATGATTTGGAATGAAAGGCTATAAAAGATTTTCTATTGTTGCCTTGCATCTCTAGGTCCCATATCTGGTAGACTTATACACAATTTATTGTTCGCTTCATGATTGTGCAGTTCAACTCGGTGCTGCCCTTGAAAAAGATCGCATTTATTCTAGCTGGTTAACTGCATGCAATGAAGAGGTATATCGGAGAGAAATGTCAATAACAAAAATGAATGATTCCGAATCTTCTGTCCCACCTACTGAACTAAATCGTCCCATATTATTGTTTAGTTCTCGTCTTGTGACACCTGTACAGCGTTTTCAGCGATATCATTTACTATTGGATAGACTTGTTCAACATGAAACAAATGAACTTGACCGGTAATTTTTCGATTATCTCATTTTTTGGGAAATACTGTAGTTAGCTGACCACTTATTGATGGTATGAAACTAACTAAAACCGAGTTATTTTGTATTAATGTTATAACATAAGGCAATTATAAGACGGCGGTTAGGTAACGGGTACTTCATGACTCCACTCAAGCCTGTGTTCTGGATTCCATGATTCATCAGTTCAAGTAAAAAATATTACTTTGAATTTCGGCGTGTTTATTTTATTTGCTTCTTCGTAAATATGAAGCTGTTTAAATATAAACTAATTGTACACTTCAGTAGTGACATGAGCAAGTTTGTTATTACCTAGTTCTACTATATGGTCAGCGTCATTCAAAGCTTAGTACAAAAAAGTGTATAGTGTTATTGAATTGCATTAGCTTATCATTAACACAGCAGTGTTTATTCTTTCCTTGCATCTTCCATATTCACTGCCAGATGTATTTAGAGATTTCAGGCAAAGTTTAGTTTCTGGGTTTCTGTAAGTTATTTCATTGTGCTCATCATAGGTAGGATAATGAAATATAAACTTAGCATTTATCAAAAGTCTGTCCTACTAACATAGCTCTGGTTAATATTCGCGTCTTTTCGTCAATATCTTCATGAATTCTTAACAATTCATTACTGTCATTGTTTCATCGGGTATGGTGTCCTATTACAATTGACTGGCCCGAGACTGATATTCAAGTTAATGTGCATGAAGTGGATGAAATCACACAGCAGGATATCAAGTTGTGTTGTATGCCTTGTTGATTGTAGTTAAAAAAATGTTACCCCTTGAAATTAAACCTAAAAATCCAATAGCTATGATGTTCTTAAAGGAAAATCTTCCAGGTTTCAGTTTGTTTTCAGTAGGAAAGTATATATGTTCAATGTAAGTAGATTTCCTTGACAAGTAGTAACAAATCATTTTCTATTACTTGAATTTCACTGATTTTGCAAAATTATTAAATCAACATTAATTGCACCTTGAATAATCTTCTGTTTATCTCTGTGATTAATCCAATAAGCTTAACTGTAGGTCGACTAGGGAGCTCCCTCAAATATGTTGATACGTCGTGATGCTAAGTATTAACAATCGTTAAATTTAGGTCAGTGTAACCTTACAAGTCAACTCCATATATCTAATATCTAAGCAAAACACTATCGTACCATGTCGTGTTGTATAATTACTAATCACCCCAGTATTGTGTTACAATCAGGCGATGAATCCTTTTTTCTTATCAAAACCAGTCCAAATATTAACTTTTCTTTCCGTAGTATTTATATTAGTTGTATTATGTTATTTGTTAATTATTTAGCTGTAACCTACAGTCGGCCCATAAAGCTATTTTGGAATTATGTGAAACAGTGAATATTGCTATGCAACTTCGTGGTTTATCGGTAAATTTTTAAAAAAAGTTAATGAATATTTCCTAATTATCAGATAAATAATGTCTGTCTTAGAATGATGTTGAAGAGTTGTAGGTATTGTTAGTAAGCTAATTAAGCAGTAAATCTCTAAGATAATTATTTTGGACTTACTCATACACAAATACAAATAGTCAGTTAAACAAAGTACGTAAAGATAATGAACTATTCAAGAATAACCAAGGTTACTAAAACAAATTTTTATAATATCGTTCATTATTAACTCATTCAACCGAGAGAATACAAAATAAAAATAAAAAGTATCTCCTATCCAAATATTCAATATTCAAATTGTAGCCACAAATAGTGGGTATTATAACCATTATTATAAGCTTTGGATAGAAAAATATTAACACACAGATCATATTTTACCCCAAATTAACAAGCATCTCATTGTATAATATTGGAATTTAAAGTATTACCGCCTCCACCGTGTATTGAGCTCTTATGTACACGATGATAGATAAGTCATAATTTACTCAGTAGCACTGTTTTTCTATTTGTTGTCTATACTAATTGGATACATGCTTGATCATAGGCAATTAGAGATACATTTCACATGATAACTAACTGATTGGTAGATGAATGAATATGTCATCAATATTTTATTATTTATGTAATTTTCGTTTAGAATTCAGTATATGTATGCTTCAACTTAATTTCCAGTAGTTTTCATCAGCATCATTGTATTGCTGTTTTAAAAACTACAAATTAGCTAAATTCATTCAAATTTTCTAATAACTGCTATAAATTTTTATATTGATTCCTTTCACAAATATTTTTCATAAAGGTTCGTCCATCTGCATTGGGTCCATTTCTATTGCAAGGAGATTTTACGATATCTCGTGATGATGTACGATTTATGCCTAGCAAACAACGTCATGTTTTCTTATTTACTAATGCTATATTACTCACTAAATATCGTACTTCACCCAATTCATTTATACCTGTTTTGATTAATCCAAGTACAGTGATAAATTCTGCGATTTCAAATATATCACGAGATCATTCCATTGATTCGTATGAAAAATCTACAAATACTTATTCAGCATACAATCAGTCTAATAATGGATTAGGTACAACATCCAATTTATTGGCTTTCACTAAATCACTTACATCTAGCAGTGGAAACAGTAGTAATAATCTTACTTCAACTAATATTCCGACTTTTACTTATCGTCCATATTATGAGATTAAACAAGAATTAGAGGTAAGTGTCAGTACATTAGTAATATATTGCTTTTATTCCTATTAGTATGATTAGATATTATCCATAATTTTCTTTTAATTCATATCATAAAATTTATAAAACCACTTTGCTGTTAACCAATATCTTCAATAAATTTCAAAACAACTATTTTCTCACTTCACTGTGCTCCTACGTTCTTTGTTAATTCGATAGAATAATCGAATAATTTTAATATCATATTCATAAACTTACTGGATCGTAAGGTTGTTTATAGTGCTTTCACAGATTAATCATGTGATCTTTTCTAACTGTAACCTTTTGTTGTATTACTATATTGTTTACCCGAGGTTGAATAACCTACTAGTGCTAAGTGTTTAGAGAAGTTAACTAAAAAGTCAATGCAATTATCGTCTAGTATTCAGGCATAAAATTCAAGTTATTTCTCCATACTTTTCATTTCTAATGTCTAGAAATGCTTGTTTCGAACAAATGTAGACGTTCTACTTATGTAGAATTCAGTGTAAAATGAATTGGTAATTGTAAATCACAAATTACAGCTCAGTTGGTTCACACTTTGTCGAAGTTCACTTGTCGTTCACTGATTTACGTATTAAACCTTTAATTATTAGGTTAAAACTCTGAAACTTTACCTATCACGTTTATTTGTCAATCAGATAAATAAGTAAACCAAATAACCTTATTTTCAAAACTGTAGTCACTGGATTCTATGTTCTATTTTCTAGTTTATCGTAGCGAACATGTTCACTTCATAATTTTAAGTAAGCGTAACTAAAGAACTAAGTATAAATTTACGTGATCAATCTCATGGGACACATTGTTTAAAGATTATTGCAACTACCAGACTTCTTATAACAAAACTGATTTATTTATAAGGTTAATGTTTATTTGTTTGTTTTATATCCTTTTGTGTGTTTAGCTTTCCAAAATCGGTTTGACTCCTCATTTCCATGGGGACCGTCGTCGGTTTGCTATATGGACTGCTAAACGCGCAGTCACTTATATTTTTCAATCATCTGATCCTGCGATCAGAGATGCATGGGTTAAAGCTATAAATGAATTATTAATGGTGCAATTAATTCGTGATCGTTATAAAGTTCTAAATAATACTGATATACAGAGTGCAAAAATATTATATACTGAACAACTCTCTTTCAACTCAAATATACCTGATCGTAGTAAAAGCTTACCAGTTAGTAGCAAAACGTTGCCACATAAGTAAGTTTCTCTTTGTAATTTAACTTTGATAATATACCTAGTAGGAGTATGTATGGCATAGCCTGTGAGAAGAATATTAGTTAAGTATTTATTTGTAAATTAACAATGTTGGCTATCTGTTTAAGCACTGAGAGATCCTTGTACATTTATATGATAGGTTTTACCCTCGTTTTTTCTATAACTTAGCCTTATGTTCATTCATCGAGTTCATCCGAATATTTGTTTTCCACTGTGTTATCCGTTTATACTTATGTAAGGGTCAATCCATTTTTCCCGCATTTAAACCTGTAGCCTACGTTTTAAAACGTTTGCTATTTCAAACATCACCCCACCTGCTTCAGTTTGACCTAATTGGAGGTATAATTAGCCGTCACGTAATCAACACACCTAAAACTCATATGCATGAATTAGTATTCTAAATTGAGTAGCAGTAAAATTCTGGTCACTAAAAAGAAGTTGTGGCTATATGTATGAATATTCCTCGATGCATTTTAACTTAGATACCTTGATAATATCTATAACTGTTAAATTCTGCATATAAATCCTAACATTACACGGTTTAATGATTAAATTTTTTTCAAATGTTAATGGTAATAATAATAATAATGATTGTTTCAGTGTTTTAATTACCTTTCACCATGAAATGTAGCTTTATCTCTGTTGTTTAATTACTTAAGTTCTCATTACTAAGTTACAAATTCGGATTTATTCATTAACGTACTCAATTTTGGTCAACTGAAATAATAATATTGTTCAACCTTACACAGATTAAGTGAAAATAACAATTTAGATTGTATAATTCTACACTTCATTGAATTCATACCTTTTAAGAAATTTTAGTTAGTCAAATACAATGAACATATCGTATCTTTGATCATTACAAAATGGGGCTAATTATGTTAAATCCTGTCGAACAGTAATAACCGATGAAATATTTTCATTTCACTAGGAATCTGAAATCATTCTTCGTAAAATCTGTCAGCGTTTAGGTTGGGAGAATTGTGATTCAGAATCAGTTACAATAATTCAGAGTTACATTCACTTTTATTCTTTCCTTGCTCATTGCCTTCTCGCCGTGTGATTATTTACGAAATTGAGAAAACTAAAAGCAAATGTCCAGTGCTTTAACCGGGTTGTTGGATGTGGAGGATTTACATAACGGAGTTGAAAAACTCGGATTCCAAACCAATGGTGCACATGGATTTCAGGATCCTGAAGGAAAAAACAACGTATGAACCAATTGTTGGTGACCGGCTCCCATGAAACTGCATCTCTTTATGTTGCTTCACTATTTTGTGGTTTAGACCTCTAGCTTAAATAGCCGGGGAGTGGCCTCCTAAGAAATCCACCTGCTTCAGGTTGTGCCCGTGCAGTATTCCAGTCCTCATACAAATAAATGATAACTATAACTGGAGAAATTTCTTTTGCTTCAACGCTTGTTCTGACAAATCTCATCCACAACCATATGATAAAATTCGTTTTTATTTCTTTTATACTACATCACTTATGTTGTTCCTTTTATTGTCATTTTGCTTATTTTATTTTTCGACCTATATAGCAGCTCGCCTACGGTGGAAACCCTGTCCTATCTAAAGCTTCTCAAGTCACTAAATGGGTGAAATTTGAAGTTTACCACCGACTACGAATACTGAAACAATCATTCTGAAACCACACATACCATTCAAACTGGCCTTCTTCAACTTTCGCACGCTAATGCAGGTGGGACACCAGATAGGGCTAACTGTGTCTTTCGAAAGTCTTAACATCTATGTCTGTTGTCTATCTGAGACCCATATTCAAGACTAGTAATGTACTACAAATTCGCTCTCCATCTGTCCCTTCGAAAAGCCTGTTTTACATGTATTTATCCGGGTACCCTATGGCATTTTCGTCTTGTTTTTCTGGCGTTGGTGTCCCACTAAGCGCTAGGACTAACGCAGCACTGACCTATTGGATCCCCATTAACAGTTGATTATTTACTGTCATATTAGAAAGCTCTATCAAAGTGCGAAGAAACCGATGTGAGGGACGATGTATTTTCGTCATCCCCGCCTTTGCTCCGACGGATTGCAACCCGGATGCGATAAAGTATGAGTTTACTACCAGTTTACTGTTCTTCTCGAGAAAGTGCCCCCGACAGATATTGTAGTACTAGCCGGAGACTTGAATGCTCAGGTCAGGCGTCTAGGCACAGAACAGAGTCGTTTAGGTGGCCGATGGCGACTTATTGGTCGCAGATGGGGTCTGACAGGATTCCCCAATCTCACCATTCCTCTTCAACTTTGCCATCGACGACATTCTGGAAACAGTTCTGATGGATGTAAGTAATGGCAGTGTGGATCTGTTGTCTGTAGACAATATTTCCGACATTGAGTATGCGGATGATATTGTCTTACTGTGCGATAATGCCCAAGCAATACAATCCGCACTTAATCAGTTGGTAATCAGTGTCCGTAGGTATGGTATGTGCTTTGCACCTTCGACGTGCAAAGCACTTCTACAAGACTGGCAGGATTCTAATCCTGTACTCACTCTGGATGGTGAGCAGATAGAAGTAGTCGAGAAGTTCGTGTATCTGGGTAGCTGCATAAGTGCTGGTGGTGACGTGAGTGATGAAATCAATGCACGTATAGTGAAAGCCAGAGCGGTTTATGTCAATCTGGGCCATCTTTCGCGCCTTCGTGATGTTAGTCTGGCTGTAAATGTTCGGATCTACAACGCATCGGTGAGGGCAGTTTTGCCCTATGCTTGTGAAACCTGGCCTCTCCGAGTTGAGGACGTTAGACGACTCGCTGTGTTTGTTCATCGTTGCCTGCAACGGACTGCTGACATCCAATGGCAACATCATTTTAGTAATGCATAGTTTTCCTTTATATAGATCTTTATTCATCATAGTTGTTATTCCACTGTTTTGTTTTCAATTTGTTTTCTTGTTATCAGAAATCAAACTGGAAAAGGATCAGTTGTATCATTACCATCTGTAGTTAATCAGAATTCCAACAATAAAATAACATCAAATCAATAACTAGTTGACAAATGATTTCTCCAACTGCGCAAATCTTAATCTTTCATTTCTTTTCTTTTCCATCCATTTTTATCATATTTTAGTCTCAACTATTTGTAAATTTGTAATTGTTCGTGTACAGTTAGATTTTTGATTAATTATCACATCAACTTTTATTATTTTTCTGTTTCCGATCGTAATTACTATTTCTCCTTTGTAAATCCACTTACCTGACTAATTTCCATTTGTGTCTTTAAAAATATGTGTTCATATGTCATCGTTTCTACTCTCGTTTTCTTTTCTCTCATTCGTTTTTTAATCTGTTATTTATCTTTTGATTTCATTCCACCCATCCATCCATTCGTTCATTTATATAATCCTCTTTCAAGTAATTTCATCACTGAAATAATCTCATTATTCCTTACTGTTTTTATATTATACCTTCTTTGTTTATATGTGTATTTATGGGATAAATATGGAAAGTGTTTTCCCAAACATATCCCGTTTTTTAATTATTATTATGATTGTTCTATCATGTTGTAAATTCTTCCTTTTTTTCTATTCAAGAGAAATTTCGTGTTTTCGAATAAACTTGTTTATTATTTTTCGTTCTCTTTAATATTTTCGTTTTTTTTCGTAATAACTTACATTATCCATACCTTATTATTCATCATAAGTTTTCATTGTTTCTTTTTTCCTCAGTTGGTTTTATTTTTTTCTTATGCTAACAGTTATAAGTATAGTTAATTAATAAGAGATTCAATAATCAGATAAAATGTTGATCTTTTATCAAATTAAAGAAAATTCTTATTTCTTGTCAATTTTTTTCGACTTATTTTGCCTCCGTTAATTTTAACAGATACAATTTTATTTTGACTATTACAATAATATAATCGTGTTTATTTAAGTTGGAAATTTACATAGATTAGTGTATTTCACTAATTCTATATTGTATATTTACATACACAGAGTTTCACTTAGTACACTCAATCACGTACACATACATATATTTGTTCTTTTCAGTTGTTTGTATTCTTCATCATTGTATACACTACTGTTACTGGATTTTATCGTCTTTCAGTAATTCCTTTACATCAATCAATGTAAAAATTTTGAAACATAAGTTGTATATATTCGGTTAGATTTTATTATATAGATGTATAATAATGAATGGCTACAATAAATATTTGCTGTTTTCTGCTACTCTACATTTTGTTTGTCAAACTGCTTTTTCTATATTAACTTACTGTTTATTAAGAACAGGCCAATTCGACCTCATGAACTTGGTAATTAGTAATGTGCTCTCCCGTATTTGGTGATGAAAATTACTAATTTGACTGTGATAAACAGGGTTGAGTGTATATACACTGCTGTTGTCCACATCTCTTTGATTTTATGCGATTTCATAATTAATATCGTTTTTGTGAGAACAGTTGTTTGTTCTCCATAATCTATTGTGCATTTCGTTGATCATCCTAATTTCTTTTTTTTAGATTTCTATCTTTCGATGTTTCTATGTTAACACTTTTTTCTTCAAACAGCGTTACGATAATCTTTCTCAGTGTTTTGATTTTTTTTGTATTGTATTCTTCTAATAGCAGTGTTGTTTTATTTACAAAAATTTCTTCAGTTTATCTTTCGTTAATTCAAGTTGACAGACAAAATAATAGCTTCTTCGGTTTATTTTTCAGACTAAAGGAAAGAGGAAATCAATCTGTTTTGTTTTTTAGGTATTGTTTATACCATTACTAATTTAACAGCATATAGGATTGCCGAATATATATATATATTTCTAGAGAAATATATTTTGGTAATATTATACCAGACTTTTTACTTTGGATTATGCATGAAGTGTGTGTTTGCCTATCCATTCTTTATTCCTATCATTTAAAGTTTTTAATCTTAATAGTAATAAAGAGTACTCTCTCAAAGTTCGTTTAGTGCTATGTTATTTAGACGATTGTCACATCAATGCTTTATAAAATGTGTACTTTATCATTATTTTTTTTCAGGAGTCAGTTGATTAATTCATCAATTGAAATGATTCATTATTAGCCTAATAGTTATCTTTATTTTACACTGAATTATTTGATTGAAGTGATTATACAGTTCAAATACCTGGACTACAGTTTTAAACTTTCCTTTACCGACTTCGCTTTGGTCACGTGTATGGTGTCACATATAAGGTGCGCTTCAAACATGAATTTAAAAGCTACTTATAGTTAATTGACTCAATACCAAACTTCCATTTATTAGGTTCTATGTTTAAACGGTACAATAGTATTTATAATGGTCGCTTAAAAGACTATAAGAAAATGTACACTGAAACTTATCACTTGATACCTTTATTAAGTTTTTATCCTATAGAAACTTCAAATTGTACTGAAATGCTTTCAGTTTCTTTTCGAAAAAATTTTTAAACATCAATAAAACAAAATATTTATCGCTCTTAATATAATAGGAAACTGAAGTACGTGGCCTACACCTTCCTTTCTTTGCCTACACCATATGCGATAGCAAGTTGCTTTTCTCGCCAGGAAAGTGTTTTGATATGTTCACTCTCAGTCTTAGATTATGTCGAACAGTAGCGCTCTGATTGTTTTATTTTTTAAACTGAATGTTGGATGATTGATTCTTTTGAAGCGACTTACACTGTGTCACAAAATGTCAGAAATTAAATTTTCTACTCATCGGGATGTTGTAAATGTGTTTTATTATTTGTAGTGTAGTATCTAGCATAGTTAAACAACACGAGTTCTATTTTGGATCACATAAGTATTATCTGTTTGTTGAAATAACTGGATGTTTCATACAGATAAAACTTTTAATATTGTGTTTTTAAAATAATCCTACCATACTTGGTAGCATTTCAGTTATCACTGTAACACATTCATTAATACAGATTAGGCACTATGAATTGTTAGGTGATTATGCGTTCAATGGAAATCAAATTTGGTTTGAACACTGCATTCAAGTTGTTTTTCGCTTCATTTTTAGAATTTAGGATCAAATCCCGGTTCTAGAATTCCTGAATTTGATCGATCCCATTCAGTTACTACTGCTTCGCTGAATTCCGATATTTCAAAAGAGAATAATGAACATGATGATAATATCGAGATAAACAGTAATGAACAGATAAAAAATGAAATCGACGATAATGATATTGATGATTGTCAACATTTGAATGTTAAGCAGTTTTCTATTGGAATATATTCTGTATTAAAGGATACTGTTGATAAATTTCATTTAGCATTTTGTGACTTACAATCATCTCAAAAACAACTACAAGATCAACTGATTGCCTTAGATCAAGGTTAGTTTAGTGTATCTGTATGATTTCGTTACAATTCTGAATATCTTCAATCAACTTTAAGGATCATCACAATGTCGAAATTACTGTAAATTCTCAAACCTATACACTTGTGTGTGTTTATGTAAGAAAAGATTGATGATGCAAATAAACTATACAAGTGGAATGAAACGAGAATGGTTTTAACTTCAGATGCGGTGATAGAAAATGACGCGGTTCAACTACTTAGCCACCTTTGATTGTAGTTCCTATGTACTAAGTTTAATTCTTTTTAAAGTCGAGTAGATTATTGGTTAGTTGAAAAATGACTTTAACTAAACTAGTATCTAATCTAACGGATTGTTGCTCTGATTCTTCACAATTTAATTTCTAATAAAGCTTCAATTTCATAACAACAGTAATAATATATTTAGAAGACAAAAACGAAACCTTCGCGTTTATTTAATTATGATCAGGTAGATGTGGAAGAAACGATATAGAATGAAAGTACATTATTTGAAAATAGATGAATAATAGATAAATTATTTTGATCGGGCATTTGTGAAAAAGTCTTTGATCGGTTGTTTCAATCTATTAGCAACATATTGATCAATATCCATTCACTTTTCATCACAGTTTATTATTAATAATCGAATGTTTTTTATTTCCTCCATAATCGTATAAACATTCCTCCTGTCAATCCCTAAATAATTCAAAGCATCTTTTGATTAACAGTTAGCAATAACTAAAAGGTTAATCAAACATTCAGAGTTATTTTCAAACCAGTGCTCACTATCTATTCTATAGTAATAGATTATCATTATATGCAAATAATTAAAAGTTTAATAAGTAATTGTCAACTATATTAATCATCAGTGATTGGTTTTCCGATTTTTGCAAGGTGGACATTCTTAACAGCTTCGTTTTTTATATCTACTAACCTTTCCCATTAGTATCAATCTTTGATGTTCATTTTTATCTGAAATCAGAAAGCCTTTTACTGACCGTTAAGTTTCTACTTTAATGGGGTTTGCAATGTTAGCTTCTGTAAGACTGAAGTAAAATATATTTATGGGTTTCTGTTAAACTGTTCTATCTCGACAATATTATCAATATTAAATTAGAAGATATTTTTATGTTGTTGTATTCCTTTTCTCTTTAACACTTGAAATCAAGCACTAGGTCGATTAGCTAAAGCTCAAGATAGTCCTCTGAATCTAGAACCATTTGTATTGGTACTACAAGAATATAAACAACGAATATCAAAAGTACATAATTCTTTACGTATTTCACAGGTTAGTGTACAAGTACGAAAATTGTTTCAAATTATATATATATATATATATATATATATATATATGCATATGCATATTGACCCATTTTCTATCATAATACGTTTTGCTAATACTTAGTTAACGTGACCTTTTACAAATATATATCTGACTAAACAGCTCAACTTCAAGCTCTTGTTACTGTAATTGTGGCTACAATTTTAGCAATGCTCTTATATACATGCAAATACATGTATGTACAATAATGACTTTTTATACTATTTTCAAACTATGTGTCACCACCACCCATTTCAGTTTCATATCTATGAGTGAAACAATTTTTTGTCATTATATGCTGATTTTTTGTGCTATATACGTAGCTGTTTTTTTTATTTTTTTTTATCATTATGTATTAGAGAAGATTAGTTACTAATAATGTTAGCTAATTAAAACTTAAAACTATTTAGAACTTTTTTATTATAAAACATTTTAAGTGCAATTTTGAGAGACACTCAAATAATAGAGAAATCGGTGCTGTTCATTTTAAAATATAAACATTTAAACCATCCAATACCGGTTCAGTGGTTTGTACATATTGAGCTGGGGAATGCTGTGTCGGGACTGAATAGCTGCACGATGCTTGTGGTTTCCACTAGTTGTCTGACTACAGTTAATCTGTAATAATATAAACGATAATATTCTCCCTAATTGTCGAATATTTCGTTATTTACTTAACTTCGTTAGTCATCGGATGTGCTCATTTATCTACATTGAATATTTTCGAATTTCTCGCCAGTTGATCATAGAGAGAATATTTATTGTCTTTGTTGGGAATCATCCTTTGCATTTATTTATTCCATAGAGTTATATTGTGATATGTTCAGCTGTTTTACCATTGTAACTTTAAGATATTTAATTTGATTTATTCTTCTGCTGAGCATATTTAGATATTTTGGTAGATAAAATTTGAACTACGGTGTAAAATAGACTCTATTTTATTAGTTTATCTCATAGAAGAGAATGCTATTTCATTTTGTGAATAGAAATGCAAGGCTTTAGTTGTTTCGACTGTTTAATATTAAGTCGTTAACTTTTAAGATTATAAGATTTATGTAATATTTAGAGACATCATCTTTATGACTGTATATACTTTATTTTATAGTATACAAGGCAACGGATAATTCAAATTTCAAGTTGCTTTGTTACACTTAGATTCTTGTTGGAATGAAGTTTGATGTTTAGTAGCACATGAAACTGGTTCTAGTATTAGTAATTGTTGTAATCAGAAATGTATAGAATATTTTTTGTGATTGTGCTTTTCAAACTCTGATAGAGGAGGAAACATCCATTCAAGGTATTTCAACTCCAGTGATCAAGGAAATTGTGTTATTAATCAACCGAATAAGTTAAATTCATTATTAAAGGCTAACATATATTTTGTTCAATATTGCATGTTTCATCATATTCATCACTAAGGTATATCTTTGATTTGTGAATTCCCTCATAGACAGCTTATTCCTACCTATGGATTTTGTCTAGAAAGTATTGCTGTTTACTGAAACAGTTTCGGAACCTTCACTTCTAATTCATTTTTGTATTGTTTATGTGAATCTTCCCGTGTTGATGTTGATGTTCAGGACTGAAATTGAATTAAAAAATCCACCCTGTTGCACACAAGGTAATGGCTATCCGGACTCAGTAGTTATGTGGATAACTGCGATGGCATCTGAAGCGAACGGTACGGCGTTCGTGTCCCAGAGCCGACACCAACTCTGTGATGCAGGCACATCCAGCTAATGAGTCCCCAACAGGACGAAACGCGCGTCCTGTATTTCACTGTTATCCATCATCCATCTTTGTTTATAGTTCACTTCTGATCTATTGTGTACTCATATTTTACATAATTTATCAATAATCGTTTTTTCTATGAAAATCATTTGTCGTCCTTGAATCATTAAAATTATAATATGATTTTTTAATTCGTATGCAGTTATTTATTTTTAAATACATAATTTCCATTTCATTTTAGGATAGAGTTATTCGTATTCGTCAAAATATTCAGGCGAAGAAAATCACTTAAAATAATTCCCTATTCTCAACATGGCTGTTGTTCAATACTTGAGAGGTTTAGATCTATCTGGTATCAATTTTGAAAAGCACAAAGATCTTTTAGATAAACAGAGAGTTGCTCGACGTACTCAAAATAATACTGAGAATGATAATTCATCCCTTCCTCTTCCTTCAATATGGCCTTCTAC